TGATTCAAAAATTTTACAAAATATAACAAAATATTAACTATTAATATTTTGATTTTAAACAAAAAATATTGCATGTCTTATTCGATATATGATTACTTACATCTACATTCATATTATTAGAAATTTGTCCCTTCGTAGTCACTGATACACCTTGAAGAACAAAATTTGTCTTCTCTGGATCACCATTCATCTGGTCAGCCATTTTGGATAGTGTTGATAATGATATTTTAAATTGATCATTTTGATTAGTACTTAGAAGAACAATGCAAACGTTTCGCCAAATAATTATCATTTCATCCAATGTATTACAGTTAACAAGTAATGCCATAAACCACATACCAAGTGAGACCTAAAAAAGAAACAAACAGAAAATAGAATGAAACTTTTTTTTTAAGTATTAATATCTTTCATAGAGTTGTTTGTATCTATATATAGTACCTGTTTCTTGCTTAAGATTTTCGATGCATTCCGTTTGACGTTTTTCATAAAATGACCAAGACATGCATGTACAACTGTTATTTCTAAGTCACGTTTAGTAGCTGCTCGTTGAATAATTCGCCAGCACCGTTCCATATAACGATCCATAGTTTCATCACCATTGAAGACTTGAATACCGGCAAGCAAAAAAACAGGAGAACGATCACAATGAATAACTGGTGGCTTTGGAAAAGGATTAGAAAAACCGTAGACTTGTTTATATTTTTCAATAAAACAATTCATCCAATGCACAATATCCATTGTACCATGTGATGCACTAACCATCACTGTAACTGGAAGTGATGAGCCACCTTTGGTAAGACTTGTCATTGTTAATTCATAATAAAAAATACGTTTGTTACGATTAATTATGATACCACCAGTTGCATCCCATGATAATGGTATACTGGATGCAAATTGATGATATGCAGCTATACCTCCAGCAGTAAAACAAATCAATCGTAATGGATCAGTACTTATTTCTTGTAAATATCCAGGTATAACTTCACCAGGAAAAATTTTCTTTGTTTGTTCAACTTTTAATTCACGAAGACTTTTATCTAAATCGTCGTCTCGACGTAGTCGTACATTAGCTTCACTTGCTATTTTACGTATTACTGAACGACTAGATCCTACAACATTTCTGTTTCCTGCTTCTTTATTAGCTACTGACATTGATTTAAGTTGTTGAAGATAAAGTGCACCTGGTGTGGCACCAAGCATAGTAAATTGCTGTAATTCTTTACGACGAGAACCACGTATTGGTCGGCCGCGTGTATCACCTTTTTTGTGCTTAATTTCACCAGAGTAATCAATTTTTATTCGACCATTTTCGCTTATATTAGCATAACATCGGCATGTACAAAAATCGAACGTGCAATAAGCATTGGCACTCATAAAGAATCGATTTGTATTACCAATATTAGATCGACTAGTATAATGATGACGCTCATAAGCGAATACACAATAGTCATTCGAGTACCCAACATAACCGTCTAAAATTAAAGTCCATTCGAGATTTCTTTTTCGGTCTTCTATATTCAATTCATCGTTGCTATCGTTTGCTGTATTCTTCTTGGCTTTTTTTTGTAGATAATCAATTCTAAATTTTTTAAGTATATCCATATGGTATTGAGAAATGACTACTGCTTTGCTTCGTTCAATTCGTTGAATTTCATTAATATCATAAGTAAAAAACGATGAGTCATCACTTTGACGTTGTAAATATGTAAGTACGGCTTTTTGTTCATCAGTTATAGAAGTGTGGTCATGTTTCTTCGTTAGACTCAGAACATCCTAAGTGATTAAACAAATGAAAATAAGGATTTAAAAATGTCACATAAAAAAAATAAGATTTTTTATGATCTACAACAAGTATATCCATACTTGACGATATATTATTTAAGATAGTCTACTTATAATTCGTAATTATAAGTAAAATAAAAATTAACTCTAAATTTACTCACTTTTGTTTGATCGAGTAGACGAGTTACAGTATTTAATTTAGTATTAGATATTTGATCTGTTGCTGAATTCATATCTACACTTTTAGGAGATATTATAGGTGATGGCTAAAAAAAGACAGTATTGATTTGTCAAAATTCATAGTTTTTGTTTTTTGAAATTAAGTACCGATGATATTGGTGACATGAATAATCGAGGAGGTGTATGAATAGGCGACATTGATGCAGTAGTATTGTTTTCCAAGTCATCTGACGGTGATAGTTCATGTTCATTCTATCAAAAGAGAAACAAAAGAATAGATATTCAATTTACGATTAGAATAGGTGTACTTCTTGAACATCTTGATTATTGCTTATTATTATTTCATCTGATTGTTGATCATCTGAATCACTATCCATGCATTTGTCAGCATCAAAATTTTGTTGATGTGTCTAAAAAATTAGACGCACATAATTTGTATTATTGACATCTGTTGACGGAATACTTACATCGTTTGATAAATCATTGCTCGAAGAATTTTTATCCTGTCCATGTACACGATTAGATGAATTTCCACATGTGCAAAGAAGTTGAACAGCAACAATATCACCAGAACAAGATTTTGAATTAAGATCATGAGTTTGTATTAACGAAATATGTTTTGACTGTTGCTTTAAAAGTTCACGTAGTTGTTCAATGAACTGTTGATGATGTATAATGGTGTTCAGTGATGAACACTAAAAATATCAAAAAAAAAACGAAAAGTGTTTTTTGTTAGTTGGTATCTTGCTTATTGTTATGCACAATCGATATTCTTTTTTTTTCAAAAGCAATATATTAAAGAAATTTTCTATGGCTCATTCTTTTTCAATTCATCTGATACATTAAGTGTCATAAATCAATTATCTCTTGTTCGCTTCATTTAATAACGAACGAATACGATTACTTCATTATTGATCAGGTAATTTACAACATGAGTAAATATGTTTATATTGCCAAGAATTATATTTATATGATGAATAGAGCAGAGTAACTTTTCTAATATTGTTATAACATATTTTATTCTACTGATGCATTTATTCTTGATCCTTTATTCGAAAAACAACATAATTGATTGTTTTAATAATCGTTATCTTAATATCACCTTTTTTATTCTACTGATGCTGTAACGGCAAAATATGGGAGATGTCATGACAAACTGGAGGAGTAGCTAGCCGCTACTCGGCAATGATATTTATTCAGCTACTTTGCATCTTCAGACTGTGTCTATTGCACATTCAACACAAGCTTATATATGATACAGAAACAAAGGGAGAGAGACGACACAGAGAGAACAATAGAGAAAGAACGAGGAAAGAGGAAGAGCAGCGAGCCGTGACTTATATATCGGCACAGATGCATTTATTCTGGATCCTTTATTCGAACAACAACATAAGTGATTGTTTTAATGATCGTTATCTTATTATCACCTTTTTTATCATTGATCTCTCTCCATTTTCATGTTACGCTTAATAGCTAGCGATCCTTTTTGTTTTTTTTCTTTTCCTTGATCGATGTAAGCATACATACACATCTATACAATTATGTGCACGTATATATATATACACATCTATACAGTTATGTGAACGTATATATATATATATATTTCTCTTCTCAGGAATATTTCTCTCTTATCATGTATATAGAGGTCTGAATACATTAGAATCTCTTTTTCCGTTCGTCTCTTTTCAAAATCAAGAATAGATTGAACCATACAGGTAAAAAAAAGAAGGAGAAAGAAAGTAATCGAATATGTTTTCAATAGATAAATTTCTTGTTTGACTTCATCTATCTGTTTCTTCGATTTCACTGTCGCTTTCAATGATTATCTAAATAATTGAATCCAATGACATAATTTAAATGGAATTACTGAGCACGATTATATCACCCTTTATGTATCGAACATTCCATGAAACAACGAAAAAAAAGAGATAACAATTAGAGCAATTTGTCGATGATAACTATATCTGCCTATCGATTATCATCCGATTACTAACTTGATCATTTGGATGTGTAACATTTTTTGATGCATCATCTTCATTGACTGGTTTATTGGGAGATTGTTGTACATCCTGTTATGATTATTTAAAATATTAGATACACACATAATGTTGAAATTTAAAAAACATACCGACAATGTATCACTGATTAGATTGTTCCATACGTGTCGTTTGCGTTTCCATGAATCATAACATGCACGTCGATTTTCGACGTTATCTGCTTTATTCATTAAAGTACAAATACGGCCCCATATATCTGCTGTTGCTTTAGAACCATCCAACACACGAATTTCATTGTTATTCAGTGTTTGAAGTGCTCTTTGGAAGACTTCTTCATCAATTCTACCTTTTGGTGGCATAATCTAAAAATATTCTCCATTCATGTTACTTAAATAGTTATACGACCATATACATAAATCTACTGACAAAACTAGTTACTGTTCATCTGCTCTTCGTTATATATTTCCTCATCTCACTCATGATATTCGTCAAATTGAAACAAATTTTAAGCTGTACCCTTTGACAATATGAAGGATATAAGTGTAGAGTACAATTTAAAGTGTATTCACTAGTATTGACATCTTTATCTCTATCATTGACAGAATATAAAGTTAATTGACCGTTTCGCTTCATTTCATATATTTTTTACTCTTTACTATAATTATTGATGCATTCACTTGTGTTGATCATGTGATACACCCTAATTGTTCTGGTACAAATGATCATTTCCTTTTATGAACTGTTTTGTCATGCTTGACGACACACACATTATCTTCTCTATTATATGAAGAGATAAAGGAGAGAAAAGACATATATAGAGATGTACAAAGGAAAAAATACATTCATGATATACGTAGGTTCACGCTATATCATATATGTTTAGCACATTCCGTTTATTTTCTTTGTATTTTTCTCAAAGAACATCCATGGCATAATAATTAATCTTTTCAACAACTGAGTCCGTTACAATTTAAGCTCCACTTGTTTAAATATTTTTTTAGATAAAAGTATTCGAAATTCATAATGATTCTGATTAAAATAATGTTATGTATCATATCTCTCATCAATGAATTCGTTTTATCAACAAGCATATCACAGTCCTCAACACCGTCAACAATTATTATTGATGTCGATAAAGGTATTGTTCTTCATCAAATTGGTATTTTTTCTGAAAAATTTGAAGAAAAAATATTTCATATGTTTATACCTTACAATAATCTATGTCTTGAATCACCAAATTCTGACGTTTGTGAATATATTCAATCGACATATCCAGATATTGTTGAAATAGGAACATTAATGCCATATGATACACAAACATCAACAACATATGATAAAGAACATATGTCGAATATTATTCAAGACCTTCGAAGAATTATTTTACAACATAAAGTCGATCGTTTTATAGAAAAAACAAAATCCATTGTTTGTTTTATCGATGATAAGTTTTATGTACCTCATGCTGACATCGCTCAATCGAAAATGAAAAGTGCTAACACTAATTCTCAAACGCTCGTACATCGTGCAACAAATCCGGCTACTTTAGTTCTTGAACAATTTTTTAACAATAAAGTTGGATATAATTTTTTAACTGATGAACAAATCATAGAAATTCTACCTTTAACCATTTCAACAATTGGTGAAAAACTCAATGTCGAAAATATGAAAGAAAATATACACATGCTCACCAGTTTAATCATTGGACAAGCTGTATATGCAATGAAATCATGTTCAATACGGCTTAATGAACACACACAAAATGGTCCTGCATGTCTTGTTGTTTCAACAATTTATCGAAAACTTCCCGAAGAAAGTTCATCATTTTATCAAGTATATCGTTTAATACCATTGCCAGTATTATTTGAAGGTGAAAAATATATTTACTCGAATTTACCAACAATATTCGGTTACAACAATCTTGAAAACAAAGTTATATTATGGAGTAATGATGATTTTTCAGCTAGTTGTACGTTTTCTAGCATTGTACATTGTCAAAATTCTCCTATAACTCTTTCGTTATCTGCTATACCATGTCTTGAAGAACTACTCAGCGTTGAATCGTCATCCATTAGCAAGTGTCAAGTGAGTAGATCAAAAGCAATTTATCACAATATGTTCAATATCAAAAATAACGTTTGGTATGCGCATTTGAATGATGAAACATTTCATTGTAAATCGCAATCACTATCAAATCAATTATCGGATATTATAACTATTAAAGAACCCATGATTTTCAAATTACCATGTGGTAGACCAGTGCGATGTTCTAATGTTCAATTAGCACCTATTACATGTTCAGATACCACTGTTATACTTAAAACAAAACATAACGATAGTAATAACAAACAATTTAATTCAGTTATTCGTCTTAACAAAATTACTGATCGACTCGTCTCTACTTATAAACTTGCTGCTAGAAATGCATTTTATGAATTACAAGCCGAAATTGATATTAATCAAACATGGATCAAAAAGATTATCAAACAATTCGGAAGCAGTTTAATTTCAGTTCTTTCTGTAATTTTATTAAGCATTCTATTAGTTATTATTCGAATAATTAAAAAGAAAATTATGAAGCAAGTTCAGCACTTACAAACTGAAATCAATAAAATACAGAGAGATTTTATCGAAGAATTGTAACTCATAGAGAAAATTTCAATCATTTTGTTACATTTGAATTTAAAATAGCACAATCTATTGAGTTTGATGTTTTTTATGTTATGAATAGTAGATTTAGTTCTATTATCATCTTAAAAATCTTGTAGAGTTTGAAAAAAACTTCAATATGTTTTTAAGTTTTCATTTTCAATAAAATAAAATTTTACATTGATACTGATCAGAAATTATAAAAAATAAAAAACAACGAATAAATAAAATGCTAATATCATGGTCACACTCATTGATGAAATTTTTCATTAGAGAAACGATTCTCTTGTACAGAATATACTCCATGGGATGCAAATATAATCTTATGGACGACGATATTTATATTTTTAAGTTATAACTTCGTCGGTTCATATTGATGCGGTTAGTTTTATTTCATTTATCAACAAATAATTTACTAAATTTGAATATCCTATTGCTGAATATATAATAAAAATTTTTTTTTGCCAATAAATACTTTTTATTCAACTATATAGTTAAATAAAAAGCATTTATTGACAAAAAAGATTTTTTTATCATATATTCAGCAATAGGATATTCAATTTAGTAAATCACTTGTTGATAAATAAAATAAAGTTAACTTCGACAAATTTTATTGTCGAAGTTATAACTTCGTCAGGCGATGTAACTTCGATACGACATTTTTTTTTAATATTCTATTTCTCAACACAACTTTCCACCTTTTTAAAAAGCAATAAATCATAACTATGTCCACTTATAACTATCAGAATCAAGAAAACCGGAATCTTTATCTCAATGAATAATAGCTTTTCTTTTCTCGACCACTTCTTCAAAATACATATTTGCTAATTATCATGACTTTTTTCTTCAGAAAGCATTAATACACTTCTACTCTCTTTTCAGCAATCACAACGAAACTATACCAGCTGCTTCATAGAAATGAAGACAACAGATTTCGATACAAGTCATAGTGTTGTTTAATCAACCATACCCTTCTTTTCTTCATCTTGATTACGATAATGATCATTGGACATGAACTTTATCATTATATGTTGTTTCTTTCACAAGTTAATCATCTTGTGTGAACAAAATGCAACGAAGAAACGAGATTAATTGACATACGCAGCTCATAAGGAAAACGACAATGAAATTATTTTTCAACACGTACTATGTCTATGGAACAAGTAAAACAAAAACAAATGACTCATCCTGTAACGTAAAACACGAGAGAAAAAACTGATGTTATGATTGATTAATTTTAAGTGATTTCAAATTTGATTGAAATCCATCTGACATTAAGTTGAAATTATATGAAATCACCAAGACGTGTACCAAGATCACGACGGGCTGAAATTGAGACTCATTGGGACCGACATCAAGTCTCTCACTCTTGGCACACCCCAAAATCATCTGAAATCACTTGGAATCAACAAAATTGTTTGAATTCAGTGTGTTCTTCTTTAGTGATTTTGTCTGATTTCGAGTGATTTTACTTGATTCCACGTGATTTCAAATGATTTTAACTTGATTTCCGTTGGTGGAATCAGTTTGTTCCCTTTTGACGCAAAATAACATTTGATCGCACCTTATAGCTATATATGGGATGAACAAGCTCTTCAATGAAAAACTCGTTGTCAATAAACGTCTATTTCAATTCTCACTTGCATGCATTTTAGAATATCATATTTTATATATGAAGAAAAGCAATTTTGAAAAGAAAAGCTTTTATTTCAAAATAAATATTTGAACAAAAGAAAAAAAATATTTTCAAGTACACATCAAACTGATTGAGAAGCAAGAGACGATGGAGAATTCGTAATTAATTCGATTGTTGTTGCTGGCTGGTAATGTACAATTTCATTTCCTAAATAATAAATTGAATATCAAAGCAAAAAATTCAATAAACTTACTTTTTCTTTGTTTCTGAAGTTTATATTCGGATAATGATTTTGGTGTAATCCATGCACGCTGAAATCAGAGATGAATATAGATTAAATTTATGACAATTTTTTTAATCGATCATTTACTTTAAATTCACAGCCGTTCCGAATACATTTAATACTACACCAACAAGTGCCTATGAATCCACCCGATGAAATGATAGCCAAAATAATATCGATTACCCATGGCAACCAGTGAGGAGAGTCACTTGTATTGATTCTAAACTTCTCATTAGATGTTAGTAGACTCGATGTTGCTTTTGGATGTATCATTTCATCGGTTGGATTCAAAGGCACCAGAACTGTAGTATTAAATTCTTCGAAAGAATTATAACCAATCGGCTAAACATATTGAAAATAACAACACTCTCATACACTAAACAGTTCAACATACCTTTGAGCAAACTCCATCGATCAAAATAAGAATAGCGAGCATAAGATAGCGCATCATAGTACAATAATAAAAATAACAATTGATTGTGCTTATACACAAAAAGAATCTATATATATATATATGTAAACACACCTCTTAACACACACCATACAATAATTTAATGATGATCGACATAAAAAGAAATATCATCAAAGAATGCTCTTCTTGTGATACAATCAAACAAATGTCGATTACTATATTACATACATGAATCGAATCTAATTGCATAGCAATTCCGAACACAAACAAAGAAGATATCCGAAATCATAATGAACATTATACATTCTGAAAAAAATTTCCCTTCGTGAAAAAATTTTTGACAACATCTTCAATATTAATCAGTCATATATTTTTCAATGAACATTTTTGTTATTCGGAAATCAATTCTCTCATACGGATTAAGTGTAATAAGTGTAGAATTGATTCTTTTTATTAAAGGAGACCAAATTCATATTCGACCACCTGATAGTTTATCAGAAAAATTGAATTTCACTCTGACTGTGCATCAGAAATTGATGAGTCATACATTACTCCATGATTTTTTTTCTATTGAGAAATGAGTTCTTCCATTCAAATCCACAATAACAAATGAAGAATTTGATTCTCTATTCAATGAAATACAATTCCTAGTCATACAAAGGACAATTCATTCAAATATTAAAATTTTATTTCCAAAGTTCATCAAAAATCTATGATTCATAAATTTCTCCAAGGGTTTTTTTTATTATGGAAAATACTCTCTCATTCGGATCAGCTGTGACCAATGTATAACTGAATTCTCTATTAAATGAAATCGAATTCATGACTAGGCAATCAATAATTTATTACACACAAAAAAAATTTCATTTTCAAATATCACCAAAAATTGATCAGCCATAAAATCGTCAATGTTTATTTTTATTTTGAAATAAATTCTCTCATTAAGATGAAATGCAATAAGTGTAGGATCGAAATCTCTATTCAATGAAATCAATGGACTCCGCTGAATAAGAGTCGAAATCTGCCAGAATTTGGAATGGACGAAAAGCCATATATTTTGAAAGTTCGTTTTGCAGCGCACGTTTTCGTATATTTTCTTTTCTCAGAAGAAGTTTCCTATGGGATATCAGCAAGTGCTTTTTATGAACATTCCTAATGTAAATTTTAGCGATTTTTCGAGATTTCGACTAGATTTTAAAAAATCTGTAGTTCTAGTTTTAAAAATGTCATTTTAAAGCTGATCAAATACCACCGACAGATGTAGTAAAACTTGCTCTACAAAATGATATCAATACATCAATAATAAGTTGTTCTCAATCGGAATAATAATATCCATAAATATAAAATCATTGATGATGAATTCCACTTTTTGGTTATTTTTGCTAAAATTGCTTCTTTACTTCAACCTATTTTTATCCTTATTGTCTATATAGACACACAAGAGACTATTATAGAAAACTTTCTCGTGATTCGCTCTACACAATGAGATATAATTGACTGAAATCCAAATAGCTCCAAATTCAATATTCAATGATTACTTTTGAGCGTACCATTATCTTACTTTCACATCAATACATTTTTTTTGACGAACATTAGATATCCTTTTACTTACTCTAGCTTACATTATAAAACTGATATCCAACACATGTTTAGTAACGAAAATGAAATTCATTAAGAGAATATTTAGTAGTTCAATCAGTAGTAACAATTGATATCTATAACACATCCATACAATATATGAAAATTATTGAAAAATAAAAATACTATGTTTTCATTTTAGAAAAATACAAGAATAGAGCTGGCCAAAAGACTGCAGTTTTCAATTTTATGTATGAACAGTTATACATCAATCGATAGAGAATTAAATCCTCTACAACTTGATGTACAACTCAACTTCGCGCAATCGACTCTTTTCATAAAATTTTTCTTTTTATTTAAATTTTTTTAGTTTTTTCTGCACACTCCACTGATATTTGAGGATGGATACCGCGTATGGAAATGGAATTTGAAGGTGAGTTGTACACCAATTGATACAGAATTACATTCTCTACCAGTTCATATACAACTCACCTTCGGGCAATGGACTCTTTTTAAAAAATGTTTCTTTTTCTCAAATTCTTTTTCTTTTCTATTGTCAGTTCACTCATATTTGCGACTGGATGACCCATATCGAAATGGAATCTCATGATGAATTGTACATCAATCAATAGAGAATTCAATTCTCCACAAGTTGATGTATAACTCATCTTCGGGCAATGCAACCTTTTTAGCAACATTTTACTTTTTTTTAAAATTTCTTTTCCTTTTTCTCATGAGTTCACTCATATTTGAGGCTGGATGACCCATATCAAAATGGATTCTTAAAATGAGTTGTACATCAATCGATAGAGAATTAAATTCTCTACAAATTGATGTACAAATCATCTTCGGGCAATGGATCACTTTCATAAAATTTTTGTCTTTTTCGAATTTTTTTTGATTTTTCTACTGACTGGACTCATATTTGAGGCTGGATGACCCATATCGGAATAGATTCTTAAGATGAGTTGTACATCAATCGATACAGAATTAAATTCTCTACAAGTTGATCTACAACTCATCTTCGGGCAATGGATCACTTTTATAAAATTTTTCTTTTTTTCGAATCTTTTTTGTTTTTTCTA